ACTGCCGCGGCCCGCTTATTATTTACGAGCGGTGGCTGGTTGGCTTCATGGGGTGGCAATATATCGACACCCCGCGGAGTTTCCTCCTTTGGCTACTGGTTACCATTCATAATGGAATATAATGGCTCCCTTGGCCTAGGGGTTTAATCCGCAGTCAGAGTGCAACAACCCCCTATTGATGTGTACTAGGCAATTTCTCTACCTCTTTTTCTCATTTACTTTACTTATATCTATTTCTATGTATTTTCTATATTTTTTTGTGTTTATATATATATATTTTATATATATGATATCTTCAAAAATCTTATTTAAGATAGTTATTATTATTTATTTTAAATCAAAAATTAAATTATAATTAAAGGTTATGAAGGAATTTATTTAGCTTTTATATAAGGGAAAGATATTATGATTTTAATAAAATATAATTTAATGTCAATGATACATTGAAATATTATTAGAAATCGAAATGTTTTAAAATTTCTGAGTAATAATGTACATATTTTAAATATATTAAATATTATTTTTTTATGTATTATTTTTATATACATTACATGTATGTTTTCTATTATATATATATTTGTGTACATTTCTCTATCAATTAAGTTTCCACTAGATTTTGAAATTTTAAGCTATTGAAATTTGAGGGAAAAAAGAATTTATACAGACTTAAAAACATGTTTTATTATAATGAAAGTGGTATAGTACAGATTTTAATGAAGAATGTTATGGTTATGAAAAAGATATATACAATAATATGTACAATATATACAAAGATATGTACAATAATAAAAGATGTAATAATAATTTTAATTGATAAACAAATTTTTAAAATAATAGTAAAATAGTAGAATTTTTGTTATACTTATTTTGTAAAATAAAAAATAAATATAAAACATATTTAATTTGAAATTAAAAAGACAAATAGAGTTATATAACACTATTTCTAAAATTCATAAAAGAATAGATACAGTATTATTAATTAAAATCTGTCAAAAATATATTTCTCTATGTTTTCCAGCTATTTATATATCTAAATTCAAAAATCACATCATGCACCATTCCATTTTCAAACAAACTATAAATTCAATTTCATCTT